ATTATGAATGATATAAAGGTGCCTTAGAATGGTCTAGCTGGAAATGTAGTCAACAATGACATATGATTTGCATTCATAAAGTGTTACTAAAACCTTTTTCAAATTAGAAAGTGAAAAATTGCGTTTAGTTTCGGCCTAAATTTTGGTCCAAAAACCTCTAATTTATTTTGACAGAAGCCAAAATCGGAGGCCTATCACTGTTAATGATAAAATTGAAATTCTTCTTTCCTGTCAAAGAGAATTATGCCAGCGAAAAAGCTTCTAACTTATTTCCCAAGCGGTTAAATTCCGTTCACTTCTCTTTTTTATAGTGTATAAAACACATTACATTTTCAATGTAAAGCTGAAGATCTTTTCTAAAAATATCACCAACAGGTTAATAACCACCTTTGCAGCTTCAATGCAAAATTCTAATTTAAAATATATATAAAACTGGCATTTTAGTCACCTCTTGCGACACGCATGGCTTAGGGAGGAATTATATTATAAGGTATTTGTATATTATTATTGAAAGAATTAGAGGCAAGATAGAATGCAGGATTGCGGATGAGCAAAGAGGTTTTAGAGTGGGTAGGGGATATGTAGATCAAGTGTTTACATTGAAGCATGTATGTGAACAGTATTTAGATAAAGGTAGGGAAGTTTTCATTGCATTTATGGATTTAGAAAAGGCATATGATAGAGTGGGTAGGGGAGCAATTTGGCAGATGTTGCAAGTATATAGGCAGTAAGCTGCTAAATGCTGTAAAGATTTTTATGAGGATAGTGCAGCTAAGGTTAGGGTGTATAAAAGGGAGGGAGACGACTACTTAGTAAAAGTAGGTATTAGACAGGGATGTGTAATGTCACCATGATTGTTTAATATACTTATAGATGGGGTTGTAAAAGAAGTAAATGCTAAGGTGTTGGGGAGAGGGGTGGGATTAAATTATGGGGAATCAAATACAAAATGGGAATTGACACAGTTACTTTTTGCTGATGATACTGTGCTCATGGGAGATTCTAAAGAAAAGTTGCAAAGGTTAGTGGACAAGTTTGGGAGAGAGTGTAAAGGTAGAAAGTTGAAAGCGAACATAGAAAAGAATAAGGTGAGAAGGGTATCAAATGATTTAGATAAGAAAAATTGGATATCAAATTGGAGAGGAGGGGTATGGAAGAAGTGAATGTTTTCAGATATTTGGGAGTTGACGTGTCAGCGGATGGATTTGTGAAGGATGAAGTTAACCATAGAATTGATGAAGGAAAAGAGGTGAGTGGTGCATTGAGGTATATGGGGAGACAAAAAACATTGTCTACGGAGGCAAAGAAGGGAATGTATGAAAGTATAGTGGTACCAACACTCTTATATGGGTGTGAGGCTTGGGTTGTAAATGCTGCAGCAAGGAGGTGGTGGAGATGTCCTGCCTAAGGGCAGGACATCTCCAGGAAATTAGGAGAAGGTGTGGAGTTAATGAAAGTATTAGTCAGAGGGCTGAAGAGGAGTTATTGAGGTGGTTTGGTCACTTAGAATGGATCAAAGTAGAATGACATGGAGAGCGTATAAATCTGTAGGGGAAGGAAGGCTGGGTAGGGGTCGTCCTCGAAAAGGTTAGAGGGAGGGGGTAAAGGAGGTTTTGTGGGCGAAGGGCTTGGACTTCCAGCAAGCATGCGTGTTAGGAGTGAATGGAAACGAATGGTATTGGGGACCTGACGAGCTGTTGGAGTGTGAGCAGGGTAATATTTAGTGGAGAGGTTCAGGAAAACTGGTTATTTTTATATAGCCAGACTTGAGTACTGGAAATGGGAAGTACAATGCCTGCACTTTAAAGAAGAGGTTTGAGATAGTGGCAGTTTGGAGGGATATGTTGTATATCTTTATATGTACAGGTACCATCCGACTTGCGACTGAGTTCGGTTCCAACAAACCGACCGTAAGTCGAAATGGACGTAAGTTGAACCTTACTACTGAATATCAACATCACATTTTTGTAATGACTATTTTATTGTTTCATTTTGGTATTTCATTTTTTACTTTACTTTTTATGCTGTTAGTACTGCATTTTATACTGTAAGGTTTAGGTTAAACACTGTGTACAACACAAACAGTTGTTTATTTGCCAGAAATTTGGCATAGAAAACACAGTCGTACGTCAAATGGTCGTATGTCGAGCAGGTCGTAAGATGGATGGTAGATGTATATGCTTCTAAACTGTTGTGTTCTGGGCACCTCTGCAAAAACAGTGATTGTGTGTGAGTGAGGTGAAAGTGTTGAATGATAATGAAAGTATTTTGGGGGGGGGATTTTGTTTCTTTTTGGGTCACCCTGCCTCAGTGGGAGACAGCCAACTTGTTAAAAAAAAAAATTGTATGGAATAAAAAATATTAAAAATTGTAGAGTTACCATGACTTTTCTGCACCAGAGCTGAAGTACACTAAAGCGTGTATTGATACGCTGTCTGTACCCTGTGCCTTGCGCACTCCTTTTGTGTGTTTGGTCCTTGCTGTGGTGAGTAATTCAGTTCACTATCACACTACTGTTAAAAAAATATTTAATTGTTAAAAAACTTTAAAATTATAAACCGTGCCATAGCAAAACCTACTCTGTTGAGAACTGCATTATACAAGGTATTACTCAATAGCAAAAGACCTTTTATTGCTACAAATTTTACCTACAAGAGAATTTATCTAGTAAAACCTCTTATTAGTGAAATCTCGTAATATTATAAGGTCTTATAGCTCCTTTTGCTGTGTTCCAGCACCTGTACCAAGTTGCTGGAATACCAAGCTTAGTAAATTAAACATGTAGGGATGTAATGTTTGATTTTCCAGTAGAATCACAAATTTACAATGGTAAAGCATTGTGTAGTACTACTTAGAGAGAGCTAGATAGAGCAAGCAAGTAAATTAGAGAAATACAGGTGGAGAACTATAGAGAGCGAGAGAGGGGGTGAGCTAGAGAGAGAGAGTACAAGTGAACAAGAAAGAGAGAATGTGCTAGAGAGAGCTACCTTTTGCCAGAATGGTATACTAAGTACAGTTTACATATGGTGCTGAACGTTTTAAAAATATTTTGGTGGGTATAAGCCTCCTTCCAGAGAGAAAGAGGATGAAGGGTCAATGTGTGGTGTATTATAATAGGCAAAGAATAAGGAGCAAAGAAATTAGAAAACAGTGTGGTGATATAAAAGGTATAATTTTGAGAGTGGAGAAGGGGTTGTTATAATGGTTTGGTCATTTAAAATAGATGGGACAACATAGGTTGACCAAGAGCGTGTTTAAACCCGTAATGGATGGAAGTGCAGGGGATGTTCCTGGGAGGAGTAGAGGAAGGATGTGAAGAGGTTTTCAGTGGTAGGGGCTTGAATATCCAACAGGCAAGTGTTAGCATGTTAGATTGGAGTGAGTAAAGGAAAGTGATTTTTGGGATTGAACGTGATGGACTTTAAGCAAGGTAGTATGTGTCAAGGATACAGGGAATGAAGTCGAATACCTACACTCTGAAGGATGGATAAAGATTGCACATTTTTGGGGGGTCATTTAAATTGTGATGTCCATTCACTTCTGGCAAGGCAGCTATTGAGTGTATTTTCTTCAATGGGTCACTTCCTTGGTGGGGAAACAGCTTTCTTAATATTTATCCTCAAAAATATAGTATTGAATATTTGCAAAGAATTGGAAAAGAAGGGAATGTATGAAAGTATAGCAGTTCCAACACTCTTATATGGGTGTGAAGCTTGGGTTGTAAATGCTGCGGCAAGGAGGCGGCTGGAGGCAGTGGAGATGCCGTGTCTAAGGGCAATGTGTGGTGTAAATATTATGAAGAGAATTCGGAGTGTGGAAATTAGGAGGTGTAGAGTTACTAGAAGCATTAGTCATAGGGCTGAAGAGGGGGTTGTTGAGGTGGAACAAAGTAGAAGGACTTGGAGAGTGTATAAATCTGTAGGGGAAGGAAGGTGGGGTAGGGGTCATCCTCGAAAAGGTTGGAGGGAGGGGGTAAAGGAGGCTTTGTGGGCGAGGGGGCTTGGACTTCCAGCAAGCAAGCGTAAGCATGTTAGATAGGAGTGAATGGAGATGAATGGTTTTTGGGACCTGACGAGGTGTTGGAGTGTGAGCAGGGTAATATTTTGTGAAGGGATTCAGGGAAACTGGTTAGTTGGACTTGAGTCCTGGAAATGGGAAGTACAATGCCTGCACTTGAAAGAAAGGGTTTGGGATATTGGCAGTTAGGAGGGACTTCTAAGCTGTCGTATCTGAGTGCCTCTGCAAAGACAGTGATTATGTATGAGTGATGGTGAAAGTGTTGAATGATGATGAAAGTTTTTTACTTTCTTTTTGGGTTTTTCTTTCTTTTTGGGTCACCCTGCCTCGGTGGGAAACGGCCGATGTGTTTAGAAAAAAATTTGAAAGAAGAGTAGTTAGGGTTTTTTCCATAAACTACTGGTATACTGTACACAGCATTTTGAGCAAAATTAATTTTATTATACTCGGTGTGTGAACATTTCAAATACTTGTAATATTTTAGGCATTTTATATGAAGTAATGAAATTTAGGGTGGGTTAACAGGATAAGGGCTATTTTGCAGCTGAAACTTGTATAATAATAATAATAATGAATTTAGTAGTAACAAATTGGATTTATGGTTTATATATAATAGACAAATTATATTAGTTAAAATGAACCATTTAAGTCATACAGTACAAACAGAAGCTTTTTTTGAATAATTGAGGTTAATTATTTGGAGGTTGTCAGAATAATAAACTAAATTATTATAGAAATAGTGATATTAATTAATTTTTAAAGCAGGTTAGGTATGAGTATGTTATCTGTGGCCATGACACTGGATAAGGCAATCGTGTTTAGTGTAAGAATTATGCGAGTATAGATAGTGCAAGTGCAAAAGTAATAAGTCTTTTGAAGACATAGTGTCCCCATTAATGTTAATATTTGTATTGTACTTTTTTTAATGCTTCAAACACATATTACAGCACTGAAATTCTGTATTTTTAATATTTTATCAACAGCCTGTCCGCAAGCACGTTAATTGGCCTGAAGAAAGTCGTGATGTAGCCTCAGAAGTTCGCAGTTGGGTTGTCAATAAAGGACTCGGTGAAACTGTTTTGCATAAAGCTGCCAGACTTCAGTATCATGTAAGAATTCTTTTATTAATGTTTTTTATACCTATTCACAAATCTGAAGGTGACTATAATGTTGATCATATTCAGCTATCCATTCATGATATGGAGGGACTAGTTTGAAGGCAAATTAGGAATGCCAACAAAGTGCCCACCAGTGTGGTGAGGTCACAGCAGCACAAGTTGAGTCCTTAAGCTCTGATGACTGACCAGTTTCCTGATGCTATTTCTCCCTCCATTTGCCTTGGTTAGTGTCTTTAAAGGGAAGTGATTGGATACCACATTTATTTTTAATTAATATTAATAATATAGTTAATGTTGGGTCAAGCCTTTCCATCAAATTAAGGATAATGCAATATGTCATCTATTAGCTTATGTTTAGTTTTTCAAAATGTTTTTATATTAAGTTCTGAGCATAAGTGTGTTAGCTTGATACAACATGGGCAACCTGTGATTGGTTGATCTTAAGAGGATGACATTATTTACAGCCAATAGCATATTTTTAATATGCATTATGTAGAAAAGTTTATAATCAAGGCAGCACCTGACTGGTTCCATGCATCACTAGTGATAACAACATGATTTGCTGGATTATTATTCATGTATGCATAACAACTGAGGATGGAGTTAACTTAACAAAAAATCATTGATCAACCCCTAATAATATAGATAGAGATATACATATTAGGTGACAGTGGTTTTGTGTGCAAGGGGCTTGGACATCCAGCAGGCATGTGTGAGCATGTTAGGTAGGAGTGAATGGTGAATGGTCTCCATTCACTCCTATCTGAGTTACTAATTTCTTTTTCTTCTCCAAGGGATGTGCATTTTGTCTAAGCTACTGCATTACACATATAGTTGACAGTGTATGCATCAGACACTATGCTATTTTGTTATATAATGAGCAGTTTTCCTCTTTGCAACTCATACCTGTATAAAATGATGGGTAATTGTTTATACAGACCTGTTTGGTATCTACACTTCCCTCTCTCTCTGCATACAACCATAGCAGAACAGTTATGTATTTCATTGTCTCTTTTTCCTTTAAATAATTCAGTACTTGTTCTCAGTGGTGTTGAGATTGGGCAACTGCACTAGTTTGTGGCATCTTGGGGCAATGGGTGTTTCTTCATTGTATTATTTTTTACTGTATTTTGTATCCTGATTTGCTATATCACTAGCTTGATTTTGATTTGCAGTTATAACTGATTTCAGTGACTCCATTATTTACTCTGTAATTTTTGTTTTAAATTTTAATGAATGCACATTTGTGCAGGGGCAATTCCTGCACTCTTCTCTCCTCTACGCTCATGAATGTCTGTCATTATTTAGCTGTGAACACACAGCCTGAGGAGACTTCATCTTGCCAGTATTGCTCTGTGTCCATGTCTTATGACATGGTAGAGAATCTTTCTGGAGGTAATTACACAAAAAGTATGAAATTTGATGGAAAAGTTAATGAATTATGCAGGCACAAACTGGGCACAATTTAGGCATTGGCAATTTTGCCAAATTTGAGTCCTATTTTAAGTCAGTTCCATTGCTCTGTTTGACAAAATTCTTGGTTATTTTGCTAACATGCCTTCTGTTTTATCAATGAGCACAGGAAGCTGCCCATTCAACTATTATAACTACCTTATGCAGTGCACAGAAGTTGGTAATTTGGCCAATTTTACACAAAATTAAAAGAAGTATTAATTTGAAAATACAGAGCAAAATAAACAATGTAGACATTCATGGCACTAAAACAGCATTTCCTCTGTTCAATACTCACATCCCCAGGTCTCTCCTATATTACACTTGCCTTCCATTTTGAATTCATAATCACAGAAAAATAAAAAATTTACTCTCCCAGATTATAAAATATAACCAGGAATGATTGGTCATTGGTCTGATTCAGTAATTGAATCAGACCTATTGAAAGGTCATTACAAAGACATGGGGGGGGGGGTTGCAGGGGGCCTTACCCATCCTCAGGAAAATTTGCATAAATCTAATCTTTCTGGTAATTTGAGCCCAATTTAAACCTTCTTCTACTCTTTGAACTAACCATCTCTATTTCAGTAGTATGTCTTCCATTCTATCAAGGAACAGTCAATAAAACCGTAAAAACCATCCTAGAAAACTACTCAGTCGCTATTATGTTTAGGCCAAAATTTACCGCTAACGGCTTAACTGAGCAAGTCAAGCTCATGACATAGAACTTTGTTAGGGACCCCTGGCCTCAATGATGTAGTTCTACATGATGGCCACAGAAAGGGTTAGGAGTTAAATATATTTTTCAGTTTGCAGTTTAAGTGAATGAAAGGCTATCTATAACTTTTTTTCTCTCTTCAGGATGTTGTTGTTTACTGTGCGGAAAGTCCTGACTTTGAAATTAACATTCGTGATAATGCAGGCTACACACCTTTACATGAGGCTTGCAACAGAGGTCATTTAGATATTGCACAGGTAATCATCTTGACATTATTACAATATTTATGATGTTTCTCTTCATATTTTTTTAAGCTCTTATCAGTGCCACTGCCGCCACCACTACTACCATCATTACCATTCATTTTGGAGTACTAAACCCGCATGAGTCATACAGCATTGGAAAATAATTAAGTTTGATCAGAGGAAGGGATATTTGGATTTGAGCCCAGTTTCTTAGATCAAGAGCACTTCACTGTCATCAAGAAACCTCCCTGAAGAAGTGTTATTCCATAATTTCCATCTTGTGCCTAAGGTCGTATACATATTGAGAAGTTGACAAGTCTCATTTTAGGAGTACAGTATCAAGTAGAACTGAGGAAGATACCCCTCTTATAAAACTACAGTGTGAACTACTGGGTTTCAGGGTTGAGACCCCTGATCTCAAACTTGCTCTCAGGGTCAAAGAATTTAAAAACAAATTATTTTATCTTATGAAATGATAGAAAACCTTTTTCCGCAGCTAATGAAATGAAAAGTATGAAATTTGATGGAAAATTTGTAGAATCACACTCTTGCAGAGTTAGTGATCTCGACGATGTTTACACATCAGCGATTTTGCCCACTTAGCGCCCTATTTTTGGCCAATTCCAATGTTCATCCGTGATAAAATCATAAACAAAAGAGACACCGAGAATGTAAACATACAGATGAGCACACCAACTAACCCCTTTACAGTGAACTACTTTTGTACTTCCATTCTTTCCTCTTTGTCCTCTTCCAAGTGCTGCTGCACTGCCAACTCTATCTTGTACTATGGGGTGCATAATAAAGTACAAATTTATAGACAAAATATGTAATCTTGGAGGTTGCTTGATGCTGAGACTCCGTGCTGCCGTTTCCACGACCAAAGTTTTCGTACAGTATACAATACTGACTTGTCAGAGAGAACTGGTTGTAAGCCCGAGCTGTCGTTAAACAGGTAGGTTGTTAAGTGAGGAGTGCCTGTACAGGAGAAGGGGTTACTAGCTCCTTCCTCCCAGCATTTAACCCTTAACTGTTGCAAACCCAAATCCTGAGGTGTCTCCTGGTGTCGCAAAATTTCCGAAAAAAAAAAAAAATTTCTTATGAAATGATAGAGAATCTATTCCCGATTGTAATGACACCAAAAGAACAAAATTCAATGGAAAACTTATAGAATTACGCTCTCACGAAGTTATTGACTTCGGCGATATTTACGAATCGGCAATTTTACCCACTTTGAGCCCTATTTGCGGCTAATTCCATGGTTCCAATTGACCAAACTCATAGCTGGTTCTTTAGAACTCAATTTGTTCTATCGATTGAGTACAAGAAACTGCCCATTTACAGATTTCAACTACCCAATAACGTGGTCAAAAATTTGCAGTTTGGCCAATTTCATGCAAATTAAAAAATATGCCAATTTCAAAATAGGGTCCAGAATGAACAATGTAGACATTTCTGGTTCTAAAACAACATTTTCTTTGTCCATCAGTCACATCTTCAGGCCCCTCTGATATTACTCTTGCTTTCTATTTTGAATTTTTATTCAAACAAAAATAGAAGATTTACTGTTATGCAGACTACTGCAATATTGTAATAATTGTATAAATAATGTCAACCCATTCATGACTGCATATTAGAATGGCTAGTTGGACATTTATTGGACAATGACATCATTTGTTTACTTTTGAACATCGGCAAAAAATCAAACATTTCCCCTACTTTGAGCTTCATTTCAAGGTACTTTTCATAGTAAAACCAATCATTATCACCTCTATTTCTATAATATGATATCCATTCTATCAAATGAGACCAAGAAAACGAGAATACAACCATAAATACTATACAAAAATACACTACAAATTCGGCGTTTTAATCCAAAACAATGGTTGGAGTTTTTTTTTCTCATTATGCACTGCGTACTGCAGGATTTTTTTTATATGGTGCACACTGACCAAACAGACCTATTCTCTCACATGTGGGTCTACCAGCTTTCTCCTGCTTGATTTGTAACCGCTAGAATTTATGAGTACAGTGGACCCCCGCATAGCGATTTTAATCTGTGCAAGAGGGCTCATTGTTTTGCGAAATGATCGGTATGCGAATGAATTTTCCCCATAAGAAATAATGGAAATCAAATTAATCCGTGCAAGACACCCAAAAGTATGAAAAAAAAATTTTACCACATGAAATATACATTTTCCTACACACAAAGAGAAGGATACATGCACAATAGTAGAGTAGTACATGCACAATATATATTGTGCATGTACTACTCTACTAAATGAAGAATAAATGACACTTACCTTTATTGAAGATGCAGCAATGACTGATGAGACACTGTGTCCTGGAGTGCCTTTTCCTCCTGAGTACTGTAGGTCCTGTTTGGCATTTTCTTCCAGAACAGGCCTTATCACACTGTGTATGCCACTACAATTCTTAAATCTCTCAAACCAACCTTTGCTGGCTTTAAATTCACCAATATGAGCACTAGTTCCAGGCATTTTTCCCTGTTCACCTGGGTGTTAGTCGACTGGTGTGGGTTGCATCCTGGGAGACAAGATTAAGGACCCCAATGGAAATAAGTTAGACAGTCTTCGATGACACTGACTTTTTTGGGTTATCCTGGGTGGCAAATCCTCTGGGGTTAATTGTTTCTTGGTATTCTCAATAAGCCACACCAACAACGGTGCTACAGCAGCAGCTGACAGTGATATAGCAGCAGCAGACGATGCTACAGCAGCAGCAGACAGTACTATAGCAGCAGCAGCAGCAGCAGCTGACGGTGGTACAACAGCAGCAGCAGCTGACAGTGCTACAGCAGCAGCAGACGATGCTACAGCAGCAGCAGACGGTACTACAGCAGCAGCAGATGGTACTACAGCAGCAGCTGACAGTGGTACAACAGCAGGAGCAGCTGACGGTGCTACAGCAGCAGCAGACGATGCTACAGCAGCAGCAGACGATGCTACAGCAGCAGCAGACAGTACTACAGCAGCAGCAGCAGCTGACGGTGGTACAGCAGCAGCAGCAGCTGTACCACCAATAGTAGCGATGGTTGATTGGGGTTTATTATACAACCTGGCCAGCTCGGAGACACGCACTCCACTTTCATACTTATCAATGATCTTTTTCTTCATCTCTATAGTAATTCTCACCCTTATTGCTGTAGGGTTGGCACTAGAAGCTTTCTTGGGGCCCATGGTCACTTATTTTGCAGATAAAATCACCAAAAACATTGTAATAATACGAAATGTTCCGATTGTATGCTTGGATGTTACCGCGGAGGCTGGCTGGTAAACAATGCCACCGGCGGCACATGTGAGGCTGGCTAAGGGCGCACATTGGACGCGTCTCGGAGGAACAGCGGTGAGCGGGTTTTTGAGCGGTATGCGAGGCAAAATTTTTGCGATAAAGCGAGCGGTATGCGGATTAAACGTTATGTGATGCCGACGGTATGCGGGGGTCCACTGTATATACATATACATCAAACACGGTGGCTCGTAAGACGTATATATACGACCGAAACAGTCAAAGAGTTAATTTGCCTCTTATGACATGCTTGGCTTACATAAGAAGAATTCCTTTCCACTTCCCCATGGAGAATAATAATAATAATTATTTCTACAAGTTCTAGGTAGTAGGTTGGTAGACAGCAACTGCCCAGGGAGGTACTACCGTCCTGCCAAGTGAGTGTAAAACTAAAGCCTGTAATTGTTTTACATGATGGTTGGATTGCTGGTGTCCTTTTTTCTGTCTCATAAACATGCAAGATTTCAGGTACGTCTTGCTACTTCTACTTACACTTAGGTCACACTACACATGCATGTACAAGCATATATATGTATATATACACATCCCTCTGGGTTTTCTTCTATTTTCTTTCTAGTTCTTGTTGTTGTTTATTTCCCCTTATCATCATGGGGAAATGGAACAGAATTCTTCCTCCGTAAGCCATGCGTGTTGTAAGAAGCGACTAAAATGCCGGGAGCAAGGGGCTAGTAACCCCTTCTCCCGTATAAATTACTAAATTTAAAAAGAGAAACTTTCGTTTTTCTTTTTGGGCCACCCTGCCTTGGTGGGATACGGCCGGTTTGTTGGAAAAAAAAAAAATTCTACAAGTGAAACTGGGTGTTGCTGTGAGCTCTACATCTCTTTTGGTTCTGTCTGGAAACTTTCCAAAGTTTCAAGTGTTTTAAAGTTGTCATAAAGCTGTTATTTTTAAATGAACTCTAAGGAGTTCAGGAAATTAAAACTGATATACCAGTGAATACTAAAGTTATAAGAAAACATGATAAACTTATTGCTGATGTGAAAAAACTTTCACTTATGTGGATTGAAGATCAAACTAGTCACAATGTGCCTTTAACCTGAGCCATTATCCAGTCTCTTCAATTCTGTGAAGGCACAGTTCAGTTGCTAACTTAATACATGTATATGAAAGTGTATACATGTTATCAGACATTTATATGCATTTAAAAGTGGAAAAAAAAGGGTATTTGGTTTATGGCAACTTAACCTGCCATATAAGTAGGCCCCTCCTGTAAATAGTGTATATGCTTAGATTTAAAAAAAATGTTTAAATAAGTTTGTGTAAATATTTTAATGCTATGTGGGATTTCATCACCAGGCACCACCTTTGAGTGGTTTCCGGGGTTCTTCTACCCTTAAAGTCTGCCCCAAAACCAGGCTTAAATTTGTCAGTATTCAGCATGTCATATACAATAAGTTTGTTTTATTTTTCACTTACCTTTTCATGTTTATATTCAGCTTTTAATGCTCCATAATCCTGTAAAAATAATAATTTTATATTGTAAAAATTCCATTGAAGGGATGTCATGGATACTCCCTGTGCCCATTTTAAAAGTAAACTGAAAGAAAAGGGCAATTGCTAACTAGAAAAAAAGCATTGAATTTGAGTTTAATGAAAAAAATGGCATTTCATTTTAATTCTTCTTTATAATGAATATAGGCCTTGTTTAGGGGGTAGGGTGTAAATAATTTTCAAAAAGTAGAGAGGCAATTGTTAGATGACAGTGAGTCTTATGCTTCCACTTTTAAACCTACAGATTATAATAGTAAATTGAAAGCATAACTTACCCATCACTCTAACTGGACCTAACCTTTAAACAGATCATTATAAATCTCTTCAAAAGTTTTGTTAAACAATACTATAAGTTGGTTTAGAAACTAAGTATTTGAATAAATAAATAAATTTCAGGTATTGTGTGCACACGGAGCTCATGTCAATGCTCCGGGCTATAAAGGAATGAGGCCACTTCATGAAGCTGTTGAAAATGGGCATGGAGAACTTGCTCGCCTCCTGCTTGCGTATGGGGCTGACCCTGCACTTACCACCTATGCTGGCCAGAATTGCCTTGCTCTTTCTGCTGATGTCCAGACCACAAAACTCATTGAAGGTTATCTAGCTGATCTGAAGGGACGCCCTAGTGAGATGTGGCACTTTAATGGCCCTTCTAGGCTCCTTGGTAAGTTTGATTTCAAATTTCATTAACATAGAATATACTATATGATATTACTCTAGCCTGGATTTTTGGTTACCTATTATTATTTTAGCATGTATAGTCACAATTGTGATATTGCAGATTGGATTATAGGAATTTAATTTCTGGAAAGCTCTTAGTGGTATAGCCTTGTTTGTTTATAGACCAGATTGCTTTATACATTTCCTGCTAGTTGGCTGTTCACATAAAAACTTTAGTTATAATATTTAAATTTAGTTTTGGTATATAACTCAGATTTATTTTTTGTAATTAGATTTTATATGAGAGCCTCATTGTGAGTTTAGATATTTCTTGATGGCTGGGCCTGTAGCCTTTGCTTATATCTCAAATTATCCATGATACTCTATGCATGAAGCCCAGTGTTTTTCAAGTGTGATCAATATAAATTCTGAGAATATTAAAATATTGAAAATATTCACAGATAGGGACAAGTAATAATTTTTTATTACTGTGAATACATCAACTTGTTGATAGTTCCTGGAGTCACTGCCCCCACTGCCTGATTCTAGTCCAGGACTCCTGTTTGATGGTCTAATCAATTAGGTTATTATTACTAGCAGCATGCAGTTCAATGTAGCAATGTCTGTTGTAGGAGTTTCTCCAACAGTCAGGCACGCTATTGGCTGACTACATGTAAATGTGACTTGTCAGTGCAGCAGCAACAGCAGCATCTGAGCAGCACTGTTTTAGTTTTACAGTGTCAGCGATCACCAGGGTGGGGTTGTCACTTATCGTTATGAACAGGGGAGACATTTCTGTTCTGCCTGAGGATGTTGTTCAGGAGTCTGCAGCGGCTGTGGTTGAAGCATTAATTACAATGCTGCCATCGCATCCAGTGCTGCAGTCGAGTGCCTATTCTCTATAGGCAAAGATGTCTTTAGGGCTACCATGTCAGATGGAAATTTTGAGAGCCTGATGCTCATGAAGGGCAACCAGCATCACATCAAAGCGATGGAGAAGGCCCAACCATCATCTGATCTTGGCATGATACCCATGCTATGCATTTTGTACAATAAATAAAGTGTATGTTTAATTTAAACTGATGTTTGATTTCATTTGTTCATTTAACTACAGTGGAACCTAGGTTTTCGTTTGCCCTGGTTTTCGCTGAATTCGTTTTTTTTTTTTTGTCAAAATTTTGTCCCACTTTTCATTCATCACCTCAGTTTTTATCGAGTTGATGGTGGTCCACCATACCGAATGTGTCCGCCCGCGCTCACACAAAGCATCCCATGCGTTCTGAGCCAGTCTGGCTTTGTTTCTCGTCGGTAGAGGGTGGTAGTGATGGTGGTAGAGGGTGGTAGTGATGGTGGTAGAGGGTGGTAGTGATGGTGGTAGTGATGGTGGTAGAGGGTGGTAGTGATGGTGGTAGAGGGTGGTAGTGATGGTGGAAAAGATAACTTACCGTCTTCCATATGCCAACAAGAGTCTTCAGTAGAGGTAAAAGTGATATTAAATGTTCATATATCCATTTCATTAGGCCTTTATATTTATTTCTCATTGTTTTCTGTATGTAAAACTATATACTTATTCCTTATAAATTTTTATTTTTAACAAGTTGGCCGTCTCCCACCGAGGCAGGGTAACCCAAAAAGAAAATACTTTCATTATCATTCAACACATTCACTCACTCATACATAATCACTGTTTTTACAGAGGTGCCCAGAACACAACAGTTTAAAAGCACATACATATAAAGATATACAACATACAGTGGACCTTTGTTTTTTGTAATTAATCCGTTCCAGGAAGTGTAACTATTTTTGAAACTGACGATTTTCGAAACCATTTTCCTCATAAGAAATAATGTAAATACAATTAACCCTGCCTCGGTGGGAGACGGCCGACTTGTTGAAAAAAAAAAAAAAAAAAAAAACAATTAATCCATTCCAGACACCCAGCAGTATTAAAACAATTTTTTTTACATGAAATATAGATGTAGTACATACACAATACAATGGGACATGATGAATGAAACATAACAGCATAACACTTACCTTTATTGGCAATTCTTCTTAGTGTATGGAAGACTGGAGGAGGAGAGAGATTGGATTACTGTATTTACTGTTTGGAAGGGAAATCCCCTTCCATCAACACCTCAGGTACCAAGTCCTTTTCTGGGGTTACTTCTCTTCTCTGTTTCTTAATGCCTTTAGGACCAGCTTGAGTCACTGGAGCCCTGTCTCGCAAAAAAAGTGTCCAGAGAGCTCTGTTTCTGGTGTCTCTTTAAAACTTCCCTAAAATGAGCCAAGACTTTGTCACTGTACAAGTTGCTGCTATGGCTTGCAACAGCCTTCTCAGGGTGATGTTTCTCCATAAAACTGTCCATCCTACCCCACATTAAAAAAATCTCTTTAACTTCTGAAGAAGGCAACTTCTTCCATCTCTCTTCCTCCTCCTCCTCTGCAGCAATATTCTGAGCTG